GTGATAATTTATCAAAATGTTGAAATGTTTCTCTGCAAAAGACCCTGTTAAGAATATAAAAAGACAAGCTAAAGACTGAGAGAAAATACCTACAAACCACATGTCTGACAAGGAACTTGTATCTAGAATATGAATATCTCACAACTCACTAGTAAAAAACAAACAATCTAATTAGAAAATGGCCAAAAGATATGAAGAGATATTTCACTGGAAAGAATATGTAAATGGCAAATAAGCTCGTGAAAAGATATTCAACATCATTAGCTATAAGGAAATGCAAATTAAGATCATGATGAAATATTTCTACATACTTATTACAACTAAAAATTTTTTGTAATAGTTACATAGAAAGGGAAATTATGTAATAATAAAAGAGTTAATCCACCAAGAAGACATAGCAACTGTAACAATACTAATAGTGACAATATCAAATGTTGACAATTGAACTTATTTACAAAACAGAAACAGACTCCTAGACTTAGAGGACAGACTTATGGTTACCAGGGGGGAAAGGGGTGGGAAGAGATAAATTGGGAGTTTGAAATTTGTACCTCTTGGGGAGTGATGGACATGTTAGGTATCTTGACTGGTGGTGGTGGTTTCATAGGTGTTTGCAGCTATCAAAATTCATCAAACTGCACATCTGAAATATATGTAGTTTACTGTACAGAAATTATACCACAAAATGTTTTAAAATGTTTAAAAAAAACAAATGTTGACAAGGATGTAGCGAAAATGGCTGTCTTATACACTGTGGAAAGAGCCATTCTGGAAAACAGTCTGGCAGTTTCTTTAGAACACTGAACAGACGCTGACCATATGACCCAGCAATTACACTCTTGGACATTTATCCCAGAGAAATGAAAACTTATGTTCACATAAAAACCTGTAAATGAATGTTTGCGGCAGCCTTATTTGTAATAGCCAAAAACTAGACACAACCAAACATTCTCCAATAACTGAATGATTAAATAAACTATGGTACGTTCATAATGTGGAATACTACCGGTAATCAAAAGGAATAAACTATTGAAATGTAGCTACTTAGATTGGATCTCAAGGGCATTGTAGTTGAGTGGTGGGGGAAGCCCCTCTCAAAAGGTCACATGACAAAATTATAGGGATGGAGAACAAATTGGTGGTAGCCAGGGGTTAGGGATGGTAGGAAAGAGAGAGGTGGGTGTGACTGTAAAGAGCACCAGGGAGATCTTTGTGGTGATAGAATAGTTCTGTATCTTGATTTCAGTGGTGTTTACATGATTATGTGATAAATTAGAATAGAATTCTATGTACACATCATATCGACATCATTCCTGCTTCTGCACTAGGGTTATATAAGATGTACCCATTGGAGGAAATGGAATGAAGCATACATGAGATTTTTCAGTGATACTGTATCTTTGCAACTTCCTGCTAATCCATAATTATTTCAAAATAAGAAAGAAAAAGAAGAGAAAATTTTAAAAATGAACTCTGTTCATTAATCCCACTCCTGGGCATCTATCTGGAGAAAACTCTAATTCGAAAACATACAGTGTTCACAGCAGCACTATTTACAATAGCTGACACATGGAAGCAACCTAAATGTCCATATATACACACACACACACACACATACACACAATGGAATACTACTCACCCATAAAAAGAATGAAATAATGCCATTTGCAGCAACATGGATAGACCTGGAGATTATCACACTAAGTGAAGTAGGTTAGAGAAAGACAAATTATCATATGATATCACTTATATATGGAATCTAAAAAAAAGATACAAGCGAACTTATTTACAAAACAGAATATAAACTCACAGACATAGAAAACAAACTATGGTTACCAAAAGGGAAAAAGGGAGAGAGGAATAAATTAGTAGTTTGGGATTAATTTATACACACAACTATACATAAAACAGATAAACAACAAGGTCCTACTGTATAGCACAGGGAACTATAGTCAATATCTTGTAATGACCTACAAGGAAAAAGAGTATGAAAAAGAATATCTGTATGTATAACTGAATGACTGTGCTGTACACCAGAAAGTAACAC